TTATGAAAGCTATTTTGCATTCTCTGTCAGTTAGATTGCAGTCCTCTGTGACTTCAGTTTTGTTTTCTGGAGAGTTGTCATTTTCTTCTATCCTGCAGTGTTTCTGTAGTTCTTCATGGTGCTTGATGAACTGATCCTCTCCTGCACATTTGTGGTAGTAATTACCTTTTTTTAATCAGGTACAGCTTTGGTTACTTTGGTTCTGGGTCACCTGGATTTCATGTTCCTCCACCTGCTCTCTATGGGCTCAGATGCTTCTGTCCCATTCACCACCTGCACAGCTGTTCCAAGATTGTCTTGAGGTGCTGGTTGCACCCCTGGCAGGGATGCTAAGTTCACAGATGTCACTGTCTTTGGCAGGGGCCTGGGAACCCAGGGAACTGTATACAGCCCCTGCCGTTGGGGGAGCTGGTGTCGGGGTTGCTGTCACTGGGGGTTAGGTCACTAGTTCTGCTGTGGTTCTGTTGCTTCTGGCCACAGATTCCCCCTGCCCGCATTCTGTTCCTGCCCCATTTTCTTGTACTTATGCCAGTCAGCCATTCTGTATTCAAGTGGGCCAGGCAGCAGCCGCTTGGCAGGTCATACTTGCACCCATGAGGTCACCACTTGGGCAGGGTCCCTTTGCAAGAGCTGAACTGCTGCCACTTGGTGGAGAGCCTTCTCATAGGTGGGGCCACCAAGACACAGTAGATGTTCCTGCCAGTCGGGCTACTGCTGCTCCACGAGCATTTGTGTGTGGGCCAGGCTGCCCCTGCCTCCACTCAGTCACATTGGCCACTGTGTGAGGATCCGGTCCTTGACTGCTGTGCTGGGGATGGGGAGGGGGCCACTCCCCTAGTTCCACTGCTTCCTGAGGGTCCAGTCCACCCACCTTCAGAGGTATAGCTGCATGGATCACTCAGGCATCCTGTTGTGCTTTGTAGGGAATCCTGTTTGTTAATGGACATCCATTTAGTTGTAACTTAGCGGGATAGACAAAGGGAACAATTCACTCCCCCATGGTGCTGATGTCACTCCATAAATTCTCTTTTATTTCCTCTTTTCTCCAAGACTTACCTAGGAGTTTATTCCTTAATTTCTAACTATTTACGGTTTTTAGGTCATCTTTTACCATGTATCTATAATTTTTCATTTTTATGAAAAAAATACTTTGTGGGATGTAAGAAGTCCTTATATGTACCATATCAAGTCATTTGATTACATAATTCAGTTCATCTTGTTAAAAATAAAATTCAGGGGCCAGCCCCATGGCCAAGTGGTTAAGTTCACATGCTCCACTTCGGTGGCCCAGAGTTTCACTGGTTCAGATCCTGGACGCGGACAGGGCACCACTCATCAAGCATCCTGAGGCTGTGTCCCACATAGCAGAACCAGAAGGTCCTACAACTGGAATATACAGCTGTGTACTGGGAGGCTTTGGGGAAAAGAAGAAAAAAGAAAAAAGAGGATTCGCAACAGATGTTAGCTCAGGTGCCAATCTTTAAAAAAGAAAAGAAAAGAAAATTCAGCTGAGTAAAGTCGAAGACCTAATTGACTTTATTAAATGACTCATAAATCAGGCAGTATCCCATGTAGCAAATAGAAGCATGCTCCAAGGAGTTGTACAAAGTGGAAGGTTTGGTTTTTTGGGTTTTTTTAAGATTTTTTTTTTCCTTTTTCTCCCCAAAGCCCGCCAGTACATAGCTCTATATTCTTCGTTGTGAGTCCTTCTAGTTGTGGCATGTGGGACGCTGCCTCAGCATGGTTTGACGAGTGGTGCCATGTCCCCGCCCAGGATTTGAACCAACAAAACACTGGGCCACCTGCAGCAGAGCACACAAACTTAACCACTCGGCCACAGGGCCAGCCCCCAAAGTGGAAGGTTTTTGTAGGCAGAAGAGTGGAGCAAGGAAGTTACTAGCAAAAGAAAAGAAAGGACTGTTTCAGGCCAGGACATCTTTTCAGGGAAGGGAAGGCAGGGTTCTTATCATGCAGATTCATCACTGGTGCTAATCAGGAAATTTCAGATTGACTGGTAAGAAGGTCACATTTCTGGGATAGATTGAAACTAAAATTAAGTCTTAGTTTGCTGTCATGGTGGCCAACGAATCCATTTTCAGCCTATTTCTTTTTTGACAATCTGAATAATATTTTAACTGGTATAATACTATTGTATAGCAGAATAGTTGTTGTAGAGTTTAATATATAATATAATATAGCATAATACTTTGTTGGTCTGAATGGTTTTTTGACTATTAATTCTGGCTAATTGTGAAAAAGGTATTTGACATTTCTCATTATGACTATAAATTTGTAAAGTTCTCCTTGCCTTTATGTATTTAGCTGCTAGTTCATTGCCTGCTTTATGACTCTTGTATCTACTTCATTATTTGTGCCTTTTGTCATTCCAGAAGGATGTTGCTTGTACTCCAAGTGCTTTTAGCCTAGCTCCACCTCGTCTGATATTAATGTTACCACTCCTGCCTTCATTTGCGCAGTATTTCTTTGCCTATCATTTTATTTTAACCTGTTTATTATCACCTTGCTTCAAGTATGGATCAGTATGTCCAATGAGCCATATCTTCACATTAATGTTTTTGTAGCATGGACTTCAGCTTTCTAACACTGAGCTCATCATTTCCTCTTCCTTATTTTCCATCTCATTTGTGAGGAGAATGGTCTCATTTTGCTGTTTGTTTTAAATAGAGCATCCAGATTTTTTTTGCCAGGCTGTCCCTGCCACTCCTAGCCCAGGAGCCCTGGATGGTCTTTCCTCACACCCAGTTCTGGATAGGCACATGACTGCACCCTGCCCATTAGACATCACCTTCTTCCAGCCAGACAGAACTGTGTAATGCAACTGGAGCCAAAAATATGGCAGATCTCTTTCAGAAGAGGCACTTCAGAGCACAGACTTTGAAACCAGACCTCCTGGGCTCAAATCCTGGCTCTGTCTCTTATTTGTAACTTGGGGCTAGTTACTTAATCTGCCTCAGTTTCCCTACCTACCTCATTCTTGTGAAAATTACAAGTATCAATATATGTAAAAAGTTGGACCTGTGCCTATGATGTAGTAAGCAAATATGGATGTTAACTATTATTATTTTCTGGGATCTGGGAAGACAAGCTGGGAGCTGTTGGCGGGACACGTGAAACCTGAGAAGGAGTGAAGTCAGCGTGAAGGAGAGCAGAGCCAAGTGGAAGAGAGACCTGGGCCTCGATCACAGGGTTGAGCCCTGGAACAAGTTGGTCCTAAAACTGGTGGTACACAGGATTTTTCAGACATGAAACAATAAATCCCTTTTTTGCTTAATATTCTGTGACTTAAGTCAGAGGAGTCTCAAATGATGCAATTGTCGAACAGTATTCTAGGCTAGAAACTTGGGAATCATTTTGATTCTTCTTTTTCCCTCACCATCCACATCCTATATGACAAGCCTGTATATTCTGCTTCTTCAATTTCTTTTCACTATGATTCCCTCTTTTCCACTTCCTCAATTTAGGGGAGAAAAAAATAAAATCAGTATTTGCTGAGGACCTGTTCTGTTCTTACAGAATGCTAGCACGTGTTCACTTTCTAATCCTGACAACAGCCCTATGAGGAATCAGAAGCACACAGATAGAGACTAGCCAGTCCAAAGTCACACAAGGAGCCAGAGGTGATTCCAACTGCGGGGCCACACTTGGCACCACTATGCCACAGCGTCTTGACAAATATTTCCTAAATAGCTAACCCTGGGAGCTGTACCTACAGAACTCACTCCAGGAAGTGCCCCACATGGCACAAATAGGGGGCTACTTAGTCCTTTTTGAAAGTGGCAATGATCCTAAAGCAATCTGGTCAATATCAGGAGTCACACACACCCATCCTGACCAGTATTCTCAGGGAATTGGTCGTCAGCCACTAAATCCACCCATCTTCAGCCGCAAAGCTTGCTGAGCCTGTTTGCAAAGAAAGGAGCAACACGAGGGAGGTTGTGACCATGCCATATCCTTCAAGCATAGAAAGACACACAAGTGGCCTTGTGATTTTCCCAGCATGAGCTCACACATGCGTGTACACACATGCCTGCACGCACACAAACGAGCCCACCAGTCTGTCTCCTTAAAAATATAGCTTTATGGGCCAGCCTGGTAGCACAGCAGTTAAGTTTGCACATTCTGCTTTGGCGGCCCGCAGTTCGCCAGTTTGGATCCCAGGTGCAGACATGGCACTGCTTGGCAAGCCATGCTGTGGTAAGCATCCCACGCATAAAGCAGAGGAAGATGGGCACGGCTGTTAGCTCAGGGCCAGTCTTCCTCAGCAAAAAGAGGAGGATAGGCGGCAGATGTTAGCTCACTGCTAATATTCCTCAAAAAATATATATATATAGGGGCTGGCCCCGTGGCCGAGTGGTTAAGTTCGCGCGCTCCGCTGCAGGCGGCCCAGTGTTTCGTCGGTTCGAATCCTGGGCGCGGACATGGCACTGCTCGTCAGACCACGCTGAGGCAGCGTCCCACATGCCACAACTAGAGGAACCCACAATGAAGAATACACAACTATGTACCGGGGGGCTTTGGGGAGAAAAAGGAAAAAATAAAATCTTAAAAAAAAAAAAAAAAAATATATATATATATATATATATATATATATATATAGCTTTATGGGCTGGTCCCGTGGCCTAGTGGTTAAGCTGAGTGTGCTCTGCTTTGGGGTCCTGGGTTTGGTTCCCAGGCACAGACCTACACCATTTGTCAGCAGCCAAATATAGTGGTGACCCACATACAAAATAGAGAAAGACTGGCACAAATGTTAGCTCAGGGCAAATCTTCCCCCAGCAAAAAAAATATATAGATATAGATATAGCTCTCCATGGAGTCTTTCCTGAATAGTGCTGTAAATCTATTTCTGCCGCCATTCCTTGGTTCCTTGAGTTGTGCATTAGAATGCTTGCTGCGTCTCTCAACTGAGGGCCCCCTTTCAGTTCCTCAAACCCGCTGAACTCACGCTGGGACTTTTGCCCTCCCCCGGGGATGCTCCTCCCACCCCTTTCCACGGGCCCGCACCTCCTCTTCTTTCAGGTCTCCGCTTCAGGGAAGGCTTTTCTGCCCACCCTGTCTAAGGTAGGCCCCCCTTCCCACCACCCCCTTATTCGGAATCTCAGTCCTTTGGTGATTTTCTTCGTGACCCTTAAAACATCGTGTGACTATTCTACTCACTGGTAAGTTTACTTGGGTTTTGTTTGTGTTTGCATGTGTTTTTCTTCTGTCTTCCTCCTTTATTGGAATGAAATCAAATAGGTACCTTGAAAGCAGGAAACCTGTTTGTTGTCACTATAATCCTGCTGCATAGTGAGGGCTCAACATGTATTTATTGAACGACTGAAAAAAAGAACCAGAAACTAGGACCGAGGGGGCTGATTTCACCCCATCACAGATGACCTGGGGGACCCCACTCAAACTTCTTTTTTGGCATAAGTGGGCAAAATGGGTAAAATCCCCAGACCCTGGATCTTTCTTCATTTGATAGAATTCATTGATCCCTGAATGATTTCTGCATTCTTTCCCTATTCTTGCCTGGCTGGCTTACACCATAACTCTAAAGACATTTTGATTTTATCCCATGGGACTCTGAGTTTCTCTCATGCCTTTGTCTGACTTGGCCCCAACCTTAAAGTCATGCTGACGACCCAGCCCCTCACTTCTCCTTCAAAGGGCTCAGAGTCCAGCTGGGGGCAAGGCAGGTGAGACATCCTACTCTGGATGAGAGGAGTACAAAGGGGGCCCCGGAAGAACCTAATGCGCAGAGCCTTGTCCTGGTAAGGGCGGGGATGACAGGGGAGGGATGGCACGCAGCTCTCGAGGCATGCCTTCCACATATCCAGGTTCTCTCCCACATTGTCTCATTGGAGCCTCACCACAGTCCTGTGATCTTAATGTTTTATCACCATTTGTAGTGGTGGAAGAGAGGAGTGAACAATGTGAGCTTTTGTGTCAGATAGGCCTGGGTTCAAAGTTCACTCTCCCTAATTATCCACCAGAGAGCCCTTAGGCAAGTTACTTAAATTTCCTTATTTTTATTATGAGAATGAAAACAACTAGGGGGGCCAGCCCCGTGGCCAAGTGGTTAAGTTCGCGCGCTCCACTCAGCGGCCCAGGGTTTTGCTGGTTCGAATCCTGGGTGCAGACATGGCACCACTCATTAGGCCATGCTGAGGCAGCGTCCCAGATGCCACAACTAGAAGGAGCCACAACTAAAAAAAATATGCAGCTGTGTACCGGGGGACTTTAGGGAGAAAAAAGAAAAATAAAATCTTGGGGCTGGCCTGGTGGCGGTTAAGTGTGCACATTCCGCTTCAGCGGCTTGGGCTTCATGGGTTCGGATCCTGGGTGCAGACATGGCACCACTAGTCAAGCCATGCTGTGGTAGGCGTCCCACATATAAAGTAGAGGAAGATAGGCACGGCTGTTAGCTCAGGGCCAGTCTTCCTCAGCAAAAAGAGGAGGATTGGCAGCAGATGTTAGCTCAGGGCTAATCTTCCTCAAAAAAATAAATAAATAACAACTACGGTTGCTATAAATATCAAATGATGAAGAGAGGTATTAGTATATTTGTCAAAATGAAATGATTTTGTGCTCAGCACATCCTAGGTCCTCAGTAAATTGCAGCTTTTTCTTTAAGAGATTTTCCCAATTGAGTGGCCTCGAACTTGATGACCTCTTGCTTTGTAAGCTCCTAAGGACGTTTTCTACACAGGCTGTATGGTTTGTCTCACTTCCCAGGTTGTGGGCTCTTCCAGGACAGGAGTAATGTCACCTAATGTTGATCTAGTGGCCCATATATACGCAGTGGTTCTTACTTACACACTAGTCTCCTGAAATAAGATAGCATTCATTGTGCCAGTATTGAGTTTTCTGCTCAATAAAGTATGACTGTTACTAGGCCAGGCAAAGGCCCCTCTGAAATGAGGAGGCGCCCACGTATCCTTTCCCACTTACCTTCCGCCTCTAGGAACAACTCCCTCTGTACACACGTCTAACCAGGAGAACATAAAACAGAGTTTTAATGATGTGAGTCATTCAAGTTTTATGTTCAAACATTATGAAAGAAAACACACTGATAGGACATTTTAACCTCTGTTACACTAACAAATTTTTAGGCAGCAAGCGGAAACAATTAAGGTGTTATATACAGTATTGTGTGTCTATGTGGCTATCTAATGGTTCATTAAGTGATTCACTCCCTTTCCCATCCCTCCGCCCACTTCCTGCCATGATATTCTGTGAAATCCATCCTCTTGCTTTCTGTCCCTACTCAGGCCCTCTGTGTCCTTCACTCTCTATGAAATAGCCCCTGCAGTGCACTCCCTGACATCACTCTTTCCTTCTAGAATCCAGGCACTGTTACACCAGACAGTTGGTTCCAAATGCCACTGCCAGGTCCCCACCATGCCCCCTACCCTTCAATATCTTGGATACACCCTTTCCTCATCCACGCCATACAGCTCTCTAGCTTGGAACATAAGTTCCAATAACCTGACAAGAAGGAAGGTTAAATATCTCTTTTGTGTCTTTGAAACCTAAGAACAGCTGCCCAATTCTTACTTTCAAACATGAGTCAAGGGGCCGGCCCGCTGGCGCAGCAGTTAAGTGCACATGATCTGCTTCGGTGACCTGGGGTTCGCCGGTTCGGATCCCGGGTGTGGACATGGCACCGCTTGGCACGCCGTGCTGTGGTAGGTGTCCCACATATAAAGGATAGGAAGATGGGCATGGATGTTAGCTCAGGGCCAGTCTTCCTCAGCAAAAAGAGCATTGGCAACAGATGTTAGCTCAGGGCTAATTCTCCTCAAAGAAAATCAAGACACTTAAATGCCTTAGGAAGTAAATGAATTATAGAAATCTTAAATAAATAAACAAGGCTTGGATCTTCATAAAATGCATTGTTTCCCAATCCTAAATGCATCTTGCTGTTGTGGGGGACTGGCATTGGCCACTCCAAGATATGTCTCTTTGGCATGAGGATTATCTGGGGCTGGTTACTTTTAATAAACTGAGACAGGAAAGGAGGCTCTGAGGAGAGGAACTTGCTTGCCCTTTGTTAGGAGACATTTACATTGTAAAGAAAATCTCCATCTGTATAGGTGCCTTCCTCTCTGTACCAGGAAGAGGAGGGGGATGACCTTATCTCTAGAAATTCTTAATCAATGCCAAAGGCAAGGACTTAAATCTGCATTTGTTTACTGTGCTTGTCTGGTAACCTCCTGTAACTGACTCCCCCCACCCCCAACACCCTCCTTTGTCTTTAGCTGGATATGATATTTAAGGTGGTGGCTTCGGCCATTTTGGCAAGTTGCTCAGCTTGCCTGAGTCTCTCCCGTGTATACATGTTATAAAGCTTTATTTAATTTTCTCCTTTTATTCTGTCTCATGTGAATTTAATTTGTTCTCCAGCCAGAAGAACCCAGAGAGGGTAGAGGAAATGTCTTCCTCCCTTACACTGTCTAAGGGTACAATCTAGTCAGGCAAATGTCACTTAAAATAAATGCAATGAAAGAAAATGCAGGGTCCACTTTCTTAAACACAAAGACATTGACCCCCGAAGTATTAAAAATATCCCCAGCAGAGGCCGGCCCTGTGGCCGAGTGGTTAAGTTCACACGCTCCGCTTCTGCGGCTCAGGGTTTCACTGGTTTGGATCCTGGGCTCGGACATGGCACCACTCATCAAGCCAAGCTGAGACAGCGTCCCACATGCCACAACTAGAAGGACCCACAACTGAAAATGCACAACTATGTACTGGGGGGCTTTAAGGAGAAAAAGGAAAAATAAAATCTTAAAAAAAAAAATCCCAAGCAGATATCTTTCTTCCGGTCCCACCTCCTAGCTTTCCCCACCCCCCAACCCCACCCTTATAGATTATAGCCCTGGGCTGGAGCAACAAAGCAGTTCAGTGTTCCCGAGCCTTCTCCTGTCGTCCTGGGCTGCCGTCCTCTAGTTAATCGAGTTGGGTAAGTGTTTTTGCAATACAGAGTATCTTTCAATGTTGCAAACCTTTTACCTTTCGGGTAAGTGTTTTTGCAATACAGAGGATCTTTCAATGTTGCAAACCTTTTACCTTTCTCTTGCATCCTCTTTCAAAAGAAAAAAAATTTATATAAAAAAAAAGATAGAGCCAGTAAAATCTTACCATGTAACTAACACAAGCCAAGGCAGAATCGAATGGTAGGTATAAACTGTTTGCCTAGGTGAATGTTTTAAAAACTCACATGTCTGCAACATGCAATTGTCTTTTAAATTAAATTTGACAGTGGTGATTCTAAAAGCCTGTGTGTATCATGATTGTTTCTCTAAAATATCCTACTAGAAGATATATTTTTAAGAGAAAAAATGTTCTTAATCATTAAAGAAGAAATCTTGTATCACCATTAAGTTTAGTGTGTGTTTAAACAGAATATTCTAAATTCCTTCTAGAAAGTTCTCTATTATTTTGTAATTGGTTTCAAAATTTGCTGTTGAAAGTAGTTTCGCTACTTGGTGGGGGGCACGACTTCTGCGTCAGTCATTTTGGGGTTTATTATTATTTTATTGTCAGAAGTTAGTTCTAAAATGTCTCTGTTTTCGTATTTAAAAAACCAATTTTTTGAAACCGTCATCATCTGGCCACTCGTTACCTTTCCTGATTTGTAGCCTTGTTATTATTGGCAACCGTCAATGCAAATAATCCATAACCAATCTATAAATGAAAACTGGGGTGAGTTTATTCTGAGCCAAATGTGAGGACCATATAGCCCAAGGAAGGAAGGGCACCAAAGAAGTGGGGTGTACAGAGTGGTTATATTCCGTCAAAGAGCATGTTTCACATGATTGAAATGTCCCTTTTACAACAGTCACGAGACTGCTCTGTTGGCACGGTGGGTAGTAGGTCTGCTGCCTTGGTGGACACAGCAGGGTGGCAGGTCTGTTGTCTCCAGCTGGGTGGTTACAGGAGAGCACAGTAATCAGTTCCCAGCCTAAGGAAATATGCTTATCCTTAAAAAATGCCACTGTGGGGGAAGTTGCACCTTTATCCTAAGGCCATATGTTCTTGTCTGTAGGACACAGCAAATGCTTAAGCAGATAACACAATGCCTGCCCAACGGCCATGTCAGGCTCTTTTGGAAAAACAAGGTCAGGCTGAATTAGGTTTACACCAAACGGCTTCCTCATATTCTCCAGTATATCCTATTGCTTGCCGTTTATTTGTCATTACCAAGGCAGCTTTCAGTATTTTTACTGTTGAGGGAATGGTTAGCTTTTCCCACTTGAGTGATTGAAAGAAATGAGAGAAAAAGAAACTTTTTTCTCCCTCTTACTTCCAGGTCCTTACATTTCTTAAAGACAGTGGATAAAAGGGAAGTGGAGTTGGGAGGTAGTATTTCTGACGTCTGGATATCTAGTCTAGAGATTTCAAAACTGCATGTATGAGACTTAGAGTTTCTATATTCACAAATTTGTTCATTCATTTATTTTTTTTAAACACCCATTGAGCATCTACTTTGCTCCAGGCACTGTGTTAGGATAAAAAGAAGAAGGGCCAGTACCTGTGGAGCTCAAACTCCCGTAGAGGTTGGGGACCTGAAAACAGCTGAGCCTGAAATATAACCAGGGCCAGACAGATGTCTTTAGAGGCCTTAAATGCACTGACAAATTTATGGTGTGCTACCCGTCCACACCTCTCCATGTGGAAATAAAGTCCAATATGATTGTGATTATTTCCCTCAAAGATTACATTTATTTGAGGAGGGGGGCTAAATATTTTTCCCAAATTTTCTCCCTTTTATTTTCCTTTATCGCCCCAGCTTTACTGGTGCCCTGAGGATGTGCTCAGTTTCCCTGCTGGGAGGTAACCAATCCCAAGAGCACTTGAATGTGTTAGCAAAATGCAGAGAAAGTCCTGAGGACTGAGAAGGACTCTATGGTTAGCCATCAGTTTTATTGAGAAATTAGCGCTTAACACAGCATTGAAACTCTCTTGCGTGTTAGTTGGGGAAGTGAAAACGGAGACAAATGGATGTGAATTTTATGGCTGCCCCTCTTAGTGTATAGACCCATATTCTGGAAGAACAGCTGGAGGCTTTCGGGAAAAAGAAATCTTTTATAAACAAGTGTTTAGGCTGATGGTTTTTTCCTGAAGTAAATTTGTCAACATTTAAGAGTTTCGTAGCCACTAAGTAAGCGTATTTTTCACTAAAATTTTGAGACCCATATATACTGACTAGAGCACTCACAAATGGTTTTGTTATCTTCTTATAAAGTATTGGATAGGACTTGCTTAAGTTATGGACTACAGACACCACCCAATTTCAACATTCTGTAAGTTTTGACTGTTGATTTCATGACTAAGGACCAGCACGATCTTAGCCCTCTCTACTTCCATCCTAGTAGAAGTTGTTGGCATTTGAGAGGGAACTGTTCCCACTCACACACCCCAAAACAAAATTTAAAATCATTTAGCAAATTTGACTGTTTACCAAAAAAGATTTTAAAAAACTAACCGAGTCCCTTTGAGATGTTTTGTACCAAAGTGGATGTAGCTATTAGCTGTATTGACTCACCAGGTAAATGACCTTCAGCCCGCAATATTCAAAGGACAGATAATTCCAATTCTAATTTCAGTAGCAGCAAGATTTAAAATACAGTGCTATTCTTCATAGGTCTTCTGGTTCTTTGGGGCAAGATATTAAATCTGAGACAGCTACAGGACTGCTGTACTGGGCATAAGATCAGATCCCAGCTATGCTAAGTGTAGGGGAGGAAGACATTTCCTCTACCCTCTCTGGGTTCTTCTGGCCGGAGAACAAATTAAATTCACATGAGACAGAATAAAAGGAGAAAATTAAACAAAGCTTTATAACATGTATCATGGGAGAGGCTCAGGCAAGCTGAGCAACTTGCCAAAATGGCCGAAGCCACCACCTTAAATATCATATCCAGCTAGAGACAAAGGAGGATGTTGGGGGCTGGGGGAAGTCAGTTATAGGAGGTACCAGACAAGCACAATAAACTGGAATAAGATTATTATGCAGATTTAAGTCCTTGCATTCTGTATTGATAGGAGTTTCTAGAGATAAGGTCATCCCCCTTCTTCCATCTTTACAGATGGAGATTTCCCTTACAAATGTAAATGTCTCTTAACAAAGGGTAAGTAAATTCTACTTTTCAGTTGCTTTCCTGTCTGCAGTTTATCAAAAGTAACCGGCCCCAAACAATCCTCATGCCAAAGAGACATATCTTGGGGTGGCCGATTCCAGTTCCCCACACTAAGCATGAGTAGTGCCAAGCCCTCTGCAATCCAGGAGCTGCTGGTTCCCTCTTCTCCTTTTGGAATTCCTCTCTGCTCAGCAACTTTTGAAGACAGAGTTCCGAGAAAGATATGAAGAGAGAAATGGAATAAAGGCATAAGATGGAAGTCTAGGGAAATGAGTAGCTGCCTAAGCGAGGAATCTGATTTTAGTTGAGGGTTTTCAAGATATTGGCATATGAATTGGGACTTTTAAGGTAACTCAAAGATTTATTCACTCAACCAATAGTATTTCAACCTTTCATTCTGCAGATGGAAATAAATTGTGGGATGAGCTGTATGAACTCAAATTAAACTCTTTCTTAGAAATAAAGAAAGACCCTCTTTCTGCTCCTTTAGGTCAACTCAAGAGTATGGTAGGAGTCCCGACTAACCAGATAATAATCCCGAGTTAAAGCATAATGATGGGCTACCAGTCTAGAAGAGAGGAATGCTTGCCCGCCAGGTGTAACAGCTTAGAGGGAAGCAGCCTTCTTCACATTGCAGGAGAAATGGTTTTATCACCACATTTGGGCGTATTCTCATTAACACGTGGTACTGCACACAATTTGTTTTTTTAATGGGTTAAATGGAAGGACATACATCAAAAATGTCAACAGTGGTTACTCTTGTATGGTGAATTTACTAGAGTTTTTCTTTTGATATTTTTGTGGTTTTTAGATTCTCTATTGAACATATTATTTTGGCTAATATTTAAAAATTATACATATTTGGGATGAAAATTTAAGTGGTAGGGAAAACTTGAAATTGGGGGAGGGGGGGATGTATTTTATTTTTGTGTAAAAGACCTAAGCTTGACTACTTAAATCCATACTCAAATCATCATCTTGGGTAGAATTCCTTTAATACAGTGATCCTCAACTCTCGCTGCACCTTAGAATCACCTGAGAAGCATTAAAAATACCAGTTCCAAGGCTGCTAACCCTCTCCACCCAGACCAAGGGGTCAGAACCAGAATGGAGCCAAGCGATTGGTATTTTTAAAAGGTCAACTCATTATATTATCTAAGGTTTCATATTGCAATTCTTTTATCTCATCTCCATAGCATTGGCCAGGAAGTTACATTACTTAAAATTAGACTCCACAAGTGTTTTACTGCGTTTGTGTATTGTCACAGTGGGTGGGTTTTGATAATACTCGATATGATAGTCTTCCAGGCTCTGTGGTGTAGAATTTTCGGACTTTGATCCGTCATATGGTCACATGCAATTCATTAGTGCATGCGTGAGATGTACTGCTTAACAAAACACTATTAGCTTGTTTAAAATGGATCGTTTAAATATCACTTGTAGCCTATGTTGGCTAACTCTCCTTTCTAAACTTCCCCACTGGTCCCTTGCTAAAGCAGTCCCAGAGCTGGTTTCCGAGGAAAACACACGCTCTCCTGCAGGTATGCCTGTAGCTGATCGCCATGATGAATTAGGATGGCCATTAGCTCCGCTCCATGCTACACTGGGGTGGCCTTCTATTCTGGTGTGTGTCATGCTTGCATCCTTTAATTTTTGTAACAGTGCGTTTGCCTTATATGCCTTTCATTATGCTTCCCTGTCGCTATGTGTAGCCCTAGTTGGGAATGTGAACTCAGCTTCTTGCTACAGACTTCTAAGTCAGTCTCATTGCTACCCAGTCCATATTAAACCCCACCTCGTGAAAATACTGTTCATGGAC